GGTGTGGCTCAGTGGTAGAGCCCCTGCCTAGAATCCCCCAGTGAGGGACTGGGGGTGGGGCTCAGCGGTAAAGCGCCTGCCTAGAATCCCCCAGTGAGGGGCTGGGGTGTGGCTCAGTGGTACAGCCCCTGCCTAGAATCCCCCAGTGAGGGGCTGGTGTGTGGCTCAGTGATAGAGCCCCTGCCTAGAACCCCCCAGTGAGGGGCTGGGGTGGAGCACAGTGGTAGAGCAGCTGACTGGCAAACAAGAGGCCCACAATCCCCAGCACACACACACACACACACACACACACACACACACACACACACACTAGCAAACGTCCATCCACTAATCAATAGATAAGCCAACTGTAGTCTATCCATGCAATAGCATACTATTCAGCCATAAAAGGGACTAACACACGGACACATGACACAGTGAATGAACCTTGAAACCACGACACTCAGTGAGTCAGACGCAAAATTCTTACACACTTCCGTTTATATGACATGTCCAGAACAGGCAAATCCAGAAACAGAGAGCAGACACAGGTTTCCCAGGGCTGGGGTAGCGGTGGGGTCGGGGGAGGATCAGGGTGTGGTGGGTGATGAATAAAAGATGAAGGTATCTTCAGGGTCATGAAGTATTCTAAGAACATGTGGGAAGATGGGAACATTTGGGGGATGTATGGGAATGTGCAGTGAACTTAGTAATACTGTTCTTCTGAGATGCTGAGACATGCCAGCAGAGGTTGTCTGCTGTCCTCCACAAGCATGTGCGCACGCCCACACGCATACATGCACACACACACACACACACACACACACACACACACACACAGTGGCAAAGCTCAACCCCCACCCCACCCCCAACATACACACATTACATAATAAAAACAGATTTTTTTTTTTTTTAAATTACTCTAACAAGCAAAATTCTACAGTAGTCTTTTGTGTGTGCCTGGCTTTTTTCATTAGCTCACGGCCTCTAGAATCATCGCACAGGTGTATGTCCAAATCCCTTTCCTTTTGAAAGCTTGGTAGTATTCCAATGTACAGATGGACCACATTCTGTCTGTCTGCAAATGGACACCTGGAATGCTTCCGCCCCTTGAGCTATTTTAAACAAGGCTGCCATACACACCGGTGTGCACGAATCTCTTCAAAACCCCAAAGGAGGTGGTGTTCTCACCTCTTTTAGCCAGTTCCAAAGCAGTTTGTTTGCCGATACCCGTGTTGGCTCCTGTCACGATGACTGTCTTCCCAGGTATGGTGGCCTTGCTGGGACAAGCCCCACCAGCAACATAGTCCCTGAGGGTGAGAAACAGCTGAGTGAATTCTGTCTGTCTGCCTCATGCTTGGATTTATGTTCTGGGGTCAACCACCTTTCTGAGCACACAAAAGCACCAAAACACATGGTGTCCCTTTCTGGTCTCAGCAAAGGACTACACTTGGGAAGTCTCCGGGAGGTGGCCATCATTCATTTCTATTTTTTACAAAAAACAAAAGACTGGGGCCAGCGGTAGTGGCCCACACCTTTAATCCCAGCACTCAGGAGGCAGAGGCAGGAGGATCTCAGTGAGTTCAAAGCCAGCCTGGTCTACAGAGTGAGTTCTAGGACAGCCAGGACTACACAGGGAAACCCTGTCTTGGAAAAAAAAAAAAAAAAACTACAGCCAGGCGTGATGCAGACCTGCAAACCCAGCACTTGAGAGGCGGTGGCAGGAGAATCAGGAGTTCAGGGTCATCCTCAACTACACAGCAAGTTCAAGGCCAGCCTAGGCTACATGATACCCTGTCTCAAAAAATAAATAAAATAAAGGACATGAAGTTGGAAGGAGGATGTGTCAGAAGGGGTCCAGGGAGTTGAAGAACATGAGTGGGCAGTAGATACGATCAAATTATATGCAGCATGGGGCTGGAGAGATGTCTCGGCAGGAAGAGCTCTGGGTTCAGTTCCCAGCACCCACATGGCGGCTCACAGCCATCCATAACTCCAGTTCCAGGGTGTCTGACCCCCTCTTCTAATCTCAGAAATCATACATGCAAGAAAAAATAAATGTAGGCTGTGCGTGGTGGCGCACGCCTTTGATCCCAGCACTCCGGAAGGCAGAGGCAGGTGGATCTCTGTGAGTTCAGTCAGCCTGGTCTACAGAGTGAGTTCTAGGCCAGCCAGGGCTGCATAGTGACACCCTGTCTCAAAAACGCACGGAAGGAAAGAAGGGAGGGGAGGAGAAGGGAAGAAAAAATAAAGAGAAGGCAGCAAGAGTGAATAAGGAAGGAGGAGGAAAAGTAAATGGTGGTGCAGACCAAAAAGTGCACCAGGTCCGGGCCTCACCCCTTCTCCCTAGGTGACCTTGGGGAGGTGACGCGCCCTCCTGCTCCGTCGGGAAGGGCTGTGTTGGCGGGTAAACTGGGAGAATCCAGGAGTGAGGACTGAGGATAAAGGACCCTTCTCTGGCCTTGTTGGGCAGTCCCCTGCCGCAGGCCTACCGCCAAGCGCGCCCGGAGACGCGCACAGACTCACTTGAGCAGCACGGTGCCGCCGATCACCGTGCCCACTACGGACACGGGCAGCACAAAGCGGTTCATTCCAGCCTGGGGAACAGCGTGTGGGTGGATCTGCACTGCAGGCCGCTCCAACGCGGGGCTCAGGAACCCACGTGCGTGGAAGTGGAAGGACGCGGCCACTACAACACGGCCCGGGGCGGGGCCAAGTGCGGGGGCGGGGCTCCTTGGGGAGGCAGGCCCACGGCGCACTTAATGCTGGGAATCGTAGTTTCAGGAGATGGGGCGGAGCCGAGGCTGACGGGCGTGCCAGCAGATGTCGTCACGCTCAACCAATCCAAAGGCGTCCTGGGGTCGGGTTTTGTGTTTGTTTGTTGTTTTGTTTTGTTTTAACAGCTGGGAACTACTCCCAGCACTTCAGAGACAGAGGCAGGTGGATCTCCGAGTTCGAGGTCAGCCTGATCTACAAGAATTCCAGGATTACAGAGAAACACTGTCTCGGGGGGTGGAAAAAAACAATTTGGTACCAACCATTACCATTTTTTTCCAGACAGGGAACCCCCGTAGAATGAACCATGAGCCTCCTCCTCTACATAATATTTAACAACAGTACTTCCTGCATACCTCTTGTGGAGAAAGGAGGAAATCGGGGCTGGACGCCTGAGTCTGAGGGAGGAGGGTGGGGTCTGAACTCGAGTCTAAGAAAGGACGCCTGGGTGTGGTCTCCTGGGTCTGAGGCAGGAGGCTGGGACCTGGACCCCTGGATCTGAAGAAAAGGGATATTGACTTTAAAATGGCATGCTGAGCCCAGCAGGATGGCTCACGGGGTAAAGGAACTCGTCACACAAGCTTTGCAACTTTGTGTTTCATCCCTAGAACTCGCATGGTGGAAAGACAAAACCCAAATGTTGTCCTCTGACCTCACACCATGGCATGTATGCGCCCACACACATACACACCGAAAAAAAAGAAAAAGAGTAAACAAACAAATGTTTAAAACACACTGAAACTTTGGTGTCTAGAAGGAGGAGCATGGAGGAAGAAAGACAGACAGAAGGAAAGAAAGTAAGTTGGGGGAAAGTACAGGTTGTGGAGGAATGCATCCTGTGGTAGAAAATTTCCCAGCACACTTGACATCTCGTTTGTCCTCGTGAAGGTGACAATGAGATAATATTTTTTCAATTATCAGATTGGCAACGTTGAAGATTATGGTAAATATTCAGTCTTGGCAAGAATCAGAGGAAACTCCCTGTTGGCGGGGTGTCACTTACCCAGTGTTCCTGAAAGCCTAGTCATGTGATCCTCCATACATACAGTTGACCCAGACATTCCCTTTGTAAGAAGTCACACTTAGGGAATGACTGGTCATTCCAAAAAAAGAAAAAAGAACAGCCAGCCTTAATGCGAATTTGTGAGTACTCACTCACAACTCTGCAACATTATTTAGCGCCTCTTGTGTTCCTAACATAGTTACACCTTAACTCGGTCCTTGCCCTCACAGTTCCCCTGACTGCAACAGCAAAAGGTCATTCTCCTGGGGCTGGAGGGATGACTCAATGGTTAAGAGCACTTGCTGCTCTTGCAGAGGACCCAGGTTCAGTTCCCAGCACCCAACATGGCAGCTCACAGCCATATTTAACTCCAGTTCCAAAGGACCAGGCACACTCTTCTGACCTTTATGGGCACTGCACAAAAAAACGGCACGCAGACGTATAAGCAGGTACAACATTCACTCACATAAAATAAATAAATAAATAAATTAATTAATTAATTAATAAATTAATAAATAAATGTTTAATTTAAAAGGAGTGGTTTTAAAATATCTGAGTCCCTTCATTTACCACCAATGTGAGGGAATGTCCTTCACAATAGTTAGGGTTACTATTGCTATGGTGAAACATATGATGACCAAAAGCAAGTTGGGGGGCGGGGATGGGTTTATTAGAATGGTTTTCAGGCTGTGGGCCAGCTAGTCCAACAACGGCTGTCTACCAATGGTCAAAGAATCCAATAGTTGTTCCGTCCATGAGGCTGGCCTTCAGTAGACACCAGAATCCGGAAGAAGTAGGCTCCAGTGCCAGTGGAGCAATGGACTTGGAAAGAGCATGATTAGAAATTTGGCGCCTGGAGTAGGAGATTGCTGTGACAGACGTGGCCATGTGTTTCCAGGGGAAAGTACCTTGGCACTCTGGGCTAGAAAAGCCTTTGAGTGCTGAGACCTCAGTGGTCTGTTTGGTAGGAGCTTGGAAGATAAGAGTGTTGAGGGCAAGCCAGAAAGCAGCACTTCTCCATGGCCTCTGCATTAGCTCCTGCCTCCAGGTTCCTGCCCTGTTTGAGTTCCTGTCCTGACTGCCTTCGAGGATGAACAGTGTGATGTGGAAGAGTAAGCCAAGTAAACTCTTTCCTCCCCAACGTGCTTTGGTCATGGTGTTTCATCGCAGCAATAACACCTCTAAGTCAGGGGGTAAGGAGAAGGCAAGCTGTGGGGAAAGCCACATGGTGGCTTGTTTGTTGTTTGTTTGTTTGTTTGTTTGTTTGTTTGTTTGGAAACAGGGCTTCTTGTAGCTCAGGCAGGTCTCTACCTCACCAAGTAGTTGAGGATAACCTTGAGTGCACGCAGCCTAATATCATCTCTACTGCTAGGTCAAATTCCTACTGAGAAGGCCAATTAGTCCTCTCAACTGCCCTAGGAGTCCAGCCACTCCGCCACAGTTTCGGGAAACAGCCGCAGACGATACACAAACAAACCGGCACGGCTGTGTTGCAACAAAGCTTCATTTAGAACACGAGCGGTGGGTGGGCCACAGTTTGCCAGCTCCGACCATGCAATTTCGAAAGACGCTGTCATTTGTGTTCACAGAACCTGGTCCACAGCGAGACCCCGAACGTGGCTGGCTGGGACAGTGGTTATTACAAAGAAAAAGATGCAAGCACGCTCCTGCTTTTGAAGGCCTCCTACCCAATTCCCAGACACACCCAAGGTGCATGGAATGTCTTTGTGGACTTCGGGTTTGGCTGTGCACCCTTTGCCAAGTGATGTTGTCAAAAAGAAACTGATAGGCACTGGGTGCTGTCCCAGGTGCTGAGAGGATTCGCCCACAGGGTGCTCTGATCTCCCCAAGGGTAGATAACTTCAAGGCACCCACCAAAGGGCTCTCTCAGTCCCTCCTGCACGCCCTCGCTTCCTCTCTACCTCTCTCTCCATCTCTTTCTCCCTCCCTCCACCTCCAACACTTTTTTTTTTTTTTTTGAAACAGGGTCTCTTGTAACCCAGCCTGGCTCAGAGTCCCTGTGCAGCTGAAGGATGACCTTGAACTTCTGCTTTTCCTGACTCCACCCCATCCAAGGTCTGGAATTTCAGGCTTACACCATGAGGCTTGGTTTGTACAATGCTGACTGGGCACCCTAAGTGCTTGGAAAACTTACGTGTTTTACACAATACTGTGAATCAGACCCATTCGTACATGCGAGACAGGCACTCTACCAACGGAGCTACATCCTCTACCCGCAGAGTGAGCCTTGTTTGAAGTTACTGGATAATGGAGTCATTTGTTACCTGACCACAGTAAGCAAAACAAGCATTCTGTCTGTCTGTACACCTTGTGAGGATAACCCTTGAACAGGCTCTGTCAGATCCTGACCAGGGTCCTATGTTGAAACTCCAGTCCCTTCCCCATGACTGCCATTGCCCAACTCAATCTCCCGCTGTGACCCGCGCTCTGAGAGCTGGGGCAAGGCAGCTTCTGAAGATAGAACAGCTTTGTCTGGACAAACAATTCCAGGCGGGAGACACTGCAGACTGGAACGTAGCTCCAGTCTGAGTGGAGAAGGGAGAGGGGAGAGGAGACAGGGGACAGGGGAGAGGGGAGAGGGACATTGAAGTCCAGGAGAGCCACTCTGGGCTGTGTTGTTCCATATGTCTATCTGTGATGCGTACCACGATACCTGGCATAGAATAAATAACATTTGGTGAGGGAACATCTTGGAGGAACCACCATGAAAAGTTCAGAGCAGGTATGGAGACATAGAAAGCGTCTCTCAGTTTTCATCAGATGAACTCCTACTTGGGGTAGATGGTGATCAGTGCACAATTGTGTAGCTGCCTGCAGGAGCATTAACTTCCCATTCTCCAAACCTTCTATAAAAGCTCTAAGCATCCCCTCCCCCTTTGGTAGACACCCTTTCCTGCTGTGCCAGCCCCTCGGTGTTTGAAATAAACGTTCAGTCTGTTGAGGTCCGTGTGCAGTCTCTTTTCTGCCTCCTGTCCGTTTAAGCTGCCTCAGAGACCTAACATACCTCACACTGATGGCCCCCGAAATCCAGAGAAAAGAAGAGGGAAAGGGATGGAGGAGCAGCGTGGGTGAGAAGGGACTGGAGAAGTGGAAGAAGAGACACCCAAGGAGAGCTGGTGATACTGCCTGCCAGGACCCTGGGCAAAGACAGGCTGGGGGCATCCTGGAGAGGGCAGAGGAGGCTTCTGCGGGAAGGCAGAGCACCGCCAGCCAGGAAGGGAGCACCCACCTGTGAGATGAGCTAGGCAAAAGTGTAGGAAGCAGGAATGCCTCTGGGGTGAGGAGGAGGGGGCAGCCTGGTTTTGAGGTGAGGTTACGGGGGAGATGGAAGAGAGGCTGCAGCCCTAGAAAATGAATCTAGATTGTGGAGGGAAGACCAGGCTGCAAAGCTTGCTTGTCTGCAGCTCAGAGGGTACTGGGGAGCCACAGAGGAGCTTCCAGCAATGAAGGGCTATGAGTAAGATGGGTGTTTTCAGGAAATGGGGGGGGGTTACTTGCTTGCTTTTTGTGGTGTGTGTGTGTGTGTGTGTGTGTGTGTGTGTGTGGTTTTGTTGTTCTGCAGGACAGTAGGGCAGCTCCAGCATCAGGTACTTCTCATCTGTCTGGCTGCACTCCGGTACCCATTCTTCCCTCCCTGCTCATGGTACGAGAGCTGGCACTGGAGCAGTCCTCACCCCACCCCACCCCTTCCTCCTGCCTCCGGGCTGGAAGACAGTTGTGATGACAGCAGTTGGAACAGCCGTCTCGAGTCCCAAGGTGGAAACTCTGCGGCAGTCTATTCCTTACCCATGAACTTGCTTCCCACGGTTTCAGATACCCAAGGTCAACCATGATTCAAAATACAGAATGGAAAGTTCTAGAAACAAATACTTCGTAAGTTTTGAATTGTGTCATTCTGAGCAGCATGATAAAATCT